GGGCTAATAATCACAGATCAACCACAAAGAATGCAGGAAACATCAGACCTATCAGGAGAGTCTCGTAAGGGAAAAATAGAACAAGAGATTTTCATCAAAATTAGGTATGCCTAGAGAAGAATAGGACTGATCTGACACGAACAAGGAACTAATCATAATACCATTATAATAAACCAGCATTTTAGTTAGTTCATGAATACAATTATAACAGACGATGTGATAGGAAAGAAGTACATCAGACCCAAGAAGAAATGACAAATTATGGGCCCTAAATTATGATAGGAACGTGTAGGAATCAGTAGGCAATTATCAGAAGACCCAGAGACTGCCGTGAAGGAAAACAACATAAAAGTGAAACCAGGAATTTATTCAATACTCCACTTCACTCATGAGGTGCAGTAAGCCGGTTCTCGCCTTTATGATTACATCTATGCTTAATAAATCTCCTTACTTGCTTAGATCTCTGTCTTGCTGTCTCATTTTGTGTGCAAATTGTGCCTATGCACTATCAATTTTTTGGAGGGACAGTAGAACTGAACTAGGACACCTCATGTGCACTGTAAAAATATGACGGGTGAATTCTTTGGAAATTTTATTAATTCCATTGATCCCACCATTTATAAAAACTACATTAAAAATAAGCATTAAAAACTACATTCTTAAAATTGAGGGAGCAGAGGCCTTCCCTATAAACCATCTCACAGTCTACCCTTCATTCCAGCAGCCTGCCGACACAACACTACAACTAACAATTACACTGAAGGAAGAAGTCCATAGTGCACTAAAGGCATTGGCAAAGAACAGGCTTGGGGAATTGATGAAATACAAACTGAAATCTTTCAACAAATTGATGTGGCACTGGAGACACTCAATCATGTATGCCAAGAAATTTGGAAGACAGCTACCTGGCCAACTGATATCTGTGGGCATTCCCAAAAAAGATAACCATGTCACTATCATTAATATTGCAGGCAAGTAAAATTTTGTTAAATATAATTCAAAAATGACTGCAACAATACATTGACAGAGGACCTCCAGAAGTTCAAGCCAGATTCAGATGAGGACATGGATTGAGGACTATCATCACTGACGTCAAATGTATCTTGTCTGAAAGCAAAAAAAACACCAAAAAGATGTTTACCTGTGCTTTATTGACAACACAAAAGCTTTTGATTGTGTGGATCATGACAAGCAATGGACAACACTGTGGAGGACGAAAATTCCAGAATACTTCATTGTGTTCAGGAGGAACCTTTACAGAGGCAGTCATTCAAATAGAACAAGGGAACACTGAATGGTCTAAAATTACAAAAGGTATTCACCACGGTTGTATTCTTTCACCCTACTTATTCATTCTGTGGAGTCCTGATGTGGCTCTGTGAGTTAATGCTCTGGACTGCAAATTCAGTTTGAACTGCAAGGTTGGCAGTTCAAGCTCTGCAGCCATTCCTTGGAAACTCTATACAAGGTCACTTTGGGTCAGAACTAACTTTATGGCACTTAACAACAACAATATTCAATCAGTATGCTAAGAAAATATTTCAAGAAGCTGGATTATATGAAGAATATGGCATCAGAATTAGAGGAAGACTCATTAGCAACCTGTGATAAGCAGATGATATAACCTTGTTTGCTGACAGCAAAATGGACTTGAAATACTTACTGATGAAGATCAAAGACAGCCTTCAGTATGGGTTGCACATTAATGTAAAGAAAATGAAAATTCTCACCACTGGATCAATAGATAACATCAAGATAAATGGAGAAAAGATTGCCTTTGTGGAAGTCTTCATTTTGCTTGGATCAACTATCAACATTCATGGAAGCAGCAGTCAAGATACCAAACGGCATATTGCATTAGGCAAATCTGCTACACAAGACTTTCTTAAAGTGTTCAAGAGCAAAGATGTCAGTTTGAGGACTAAGATGAGCCTGACCCTGCTGATAAGTGCCGTTGAGTTGGTTGCGATCCATAGAGACCCTGTATAGGGTTCCAAAGGAACGGCTGGTGAGCTTGAACTGCCTACTTGCAGTTAAACTAGCTTTGCAGTCCAGCGCATTAAACCACAGCACCACACGAGGACTCAAGATGTCTTCAGTAACCATATGCATGTGAAAAGTTGGACAATGAATAAAGAAGGCCATAGAGGAACTGATGCATTTGAATTATGGTGTTGGAGGAGAATATTAAAAGTACCATGGACTACCACGAGAACAAACAAATCTGTGTGGGAAGACATACAGCCAGAATTCTCCTCAGAAGCCAGGATGGCAAGACTTTGTCTCTCATACTTCAGACACATCAAGAGGGGACCAGTCCCTGGAGAATGACATCATGCTTGGTAAAGTGGGGGTGGGGGTGGGCGGAGTCAGCAAAAAAGAGGAAGACCCCAATGAGATGAATTGGCACAGTGGCAGCTGCAATGGGCTCAAGCATAGCAACAATTGTGAGGTTGTCGTAGGACTGGGCAGTGTTTCGTTCTGTTGTTAGTAAGGTCGTTATGAGTCAGTACCAACTCAATGGTAGCTAACAACAGGAACCATCTTTGACCTATGCTTTTGGATTTTCCCTTCTTATTTGACTTGCAAATTCACTATCCCTTTAGGTACTAGGCTATTGTCCCTACTAGTAACACCTAAGCTTCATCTCATTGATAGAACTACATAAACTCTTGCTTGGTCTCTTTGATGTAAAGAAATGCTTATATGTTTTTCTCAAGGAAGCTTCATGCTATAATTTCTATTGTAGGCTTTTTATGCTGTTTGGTTCTCGGACTCAGTAACTTGTACCTCAATGCCTTGATTCTAAAGCATTGGCATCTGAATAAACTGATTGTTCCCTATCATAAGGAAAAAATAGTGTTGAGGACATGACTGTATTAATATCAGCTAGAAGTGACCTCCATGAACAGTTGGCCTTACTCTTCATTTACTGTGAAAAAGAATTCCTTAGAATCAACTTGCCCAAATCAAATCATCCTCTTTGGCAGATGTCATCTAAAATTTAGTTGGATAATATCTAACAACTCTTTAGCAGGACAATTCATTTTTCAATATGATTACATTGAGGTATTCACTAGTAAGTTAAGTTGATTAAATTTAAACATTATAGAAATACTTTATTAAGATTTTTTAATATCCACCAAATGCAAATACCAACTATAAAAATTTTCCTGCTAAAATTATTAGGGCCAGAGGCTGCTCACTAAACTATGTGCAATAAGGTACCAGTAATTGAATTCTGAGGAAAATATTAACTCAGCTCACATCGCTGGGGAGTTGGAATGGCCTTCTATAATTAAGATATATCTCCTGACTGGATTCTTCAACTAAAAAAGAGTGCCAAACCTCTCTTCTGCTTAGCTGAATGTCAGGATGTAGGGATCTGCTCTAATTGGATAAGACAGTACATTTGTACTCCATATTTTTGCTGCAGAACGTCTCCTTAAGTTCTATGCTTCCAAATGGCTGTCAAAAGGCAATTAGGGGAATCAATATTCATAGATTTGCTGCTGATTCTCCTAATATTCTGAACTTGTTATTAAGTGCCATCGAGTTAACTCGTAACAACCCTGTATAGTTTCCAAGGAGAGGCTGGTGGGTTCTAGCCGCTGACCTTGAGGTTAGCAATCACTAACTAATGAGGTTACAACAACTTTTTGAGCTAATTACTATTATTTACATACATACAAGAAGACAAGGCAGGGAATCAAAGGGTTATCCTGCAGTACCCCACCAGGACCCAATTCTGAAACTAATTCTTAGCAAATCAAACCCCTCAAAATGCTGCCAACCTAGACTAATCAAACTGATTTACTTTCATGGTATAAACTAAACCTATGTTTGCAGATATAATACAAAGGAGTCTATAATAATAACATCAGATCATTGTTACAAGGGCATACTATGTTCTCGGGACTGTACTAAGTGCTTTGGTGTTGTTGTTAAGTGTCATTGAGTTGGGTCCAACTCACAGCAGTCCTGTATAGCGTTTCAGAGGCTGCAAATCTTCGCAGGAGTAGAAAGGCTCATCTTTCTTCTGTGGAGCAGCTGGTGGGCTCAAACTACCAATCTTGTGGTTCCCAGTCCAGTGTTTATCCTACAAAGTCCCCACTAAGTGCTTTACATGCGTAGTATTATCTGATTCTTACGGCTTTTTGAGCTAATTACTATTATTTACATACACACACTTTATAGATAAGAACACAGACATAGAAAGGTTATGCTACCCAAGATCACATAGCTAGTCAGTTGTAAAACTAGGATTTGAATCTAAGCCAGAACCTTTAAGCCTAATCCCCAAGGCTGGGGGTTCAAATTTACCAGCAGGACCTTAGAAGCCCTATACAGGGTTGCTATGAGTAGGAACCAACTCGCTGGCACTTTGTTTAGAGTTACAGAAATTGTATTTAGAGGGTTGTTAAAGAATTAAGTCACAACATTGAATATGAGGGGTCCTTCATAGGCTCATTGGATTTCTGGGAAGTCAAGGGGTAAATCTGGCTTCAGCTAAATCTAATTCAGAGACTCAAACAGTATAGTCAATGCTTCATCTTTCTGTCCAGCCCCAGCTCTACTGGTCTGTTTGGCTTTATTCCTCAGGCACTTCTTTCCACGCTGTAGATAAGAAAGCTGCTGGCTATCCCAGGCTCACATCTTCCTCACTTGGAATTCCATCAGAAAGAAAACGTCTTGCTCCCAAAGTCCATAAATCAATCTTCGGG